GGTGGAGCAGTGCCCCCATCGGCCCTTCTGCGACGATTGTGCGGACCGGAAGGTGGCGACACTGCGCATATCCATCATTTGTTCTGCCATGTTGCGCTACGTAGTGTCATCCATTGTGTTTATTCCTCCACTTCGTCTTCCTATAATTGTAGGGTTGTTGCACTCGGTCTCCTTATTTTCCTTCTCTTCCTTGCCCCATGCATGTCCCTATAACCCAATTCCTTTCTGATTGCATTTGTTCCTTGCGGCCAATACAGTTTGTTCGTTCGCTGCCCCATTCCCCACGACGCGTAACTTTTTTCGACGTCCCCAAAAAACCTACCCCGTATACCACACGCTAGCTTGCCATATTTCCTTCTGTTGCCCCCTGTATTACCATGCCTGTATTCCATATGTGTTTCTCATGCCGCATTTATGTCGGCCGCCACCAGCCGACCTCGGCCAAAAAGAAGAGTTTTACTTTGGTGACCCAGAGTTGCGAATAATGAGGGCGCTGATTGCGGGAACGTGTAGGAAAGCAGGTTGCGACAGTACAGAAAAAAGTGACGAAGGTGTTATAGTGTCAGCGCCGCTGGTATCTGTCTCCAACATGTCGACGCAATCTTGGCATTTCTGGCAGGCTTTGGAAGCATTACATTGTCGTTAGCCGCCACAGCAAGTCTGGAAAACATTGGTGCCACGCATAGATTACAACACCATACTGTAAGACCAGACGGCTCTCGTTGGCACTTTCACATCGGTCGAGTGGGCGCACCAGCTCCGCTTGAACCAGTAGGCACGCTCGCATCGAGTTTTAGCTCATGTTAGCCAGTGACTAGCCATTGCCATCTCCTCAGTGTCGGTGTTGATTGGGCTCTAAGCCTCCAGGGCACACTATAATGCCGGCGACAGCAGGGATGGGCTGGAGCTACGTTTGCCAGTCATCTATGTTGGTTGTAGACTATAAGCAAAGCAGCGGTACAGATATTACTGAATGCTTGCAGCCACACGTGCGCATCGTTTGTCTTTAATCATGTCGGAAGGGGTGGGCATGGGGGAGTCTAATCATGTTTGGTTCCTTCATTGATACAGCGCCTCTCATTGCATGATTGGAGCCAGGAGCAGCTACCAAAGGTAGCAATTAGTGATTCTACGCGTATCCCCACTCGTTCAGCCTCGTGAACGCACACCAGTGGGCCTCCTCCACTGGATGGCGCTTCGACGCGGATCAACTACACTTCAGCGTCAGTGAGCCTTGATGAGTCAGGCCTTTTTCGACGCATCATCGTTTATTCGTGGTGCTGCAGTGAGCCTGTGGTAGTCGCTCGCTTTCGCTCTCGCCCCCTCCCCTCTTCCGTGGTCCTGGACGGCCCGTCCCTGTGTGCACGCATGTAGGCTTCGCTTGGTCAATGGCCATTCGGATCCTCGTTCTGCCTGCAGCTTTACAGTGCCTCGCCGTCCGTCCTGGCCTCGCCTCCGAATGTGGGTCGGCTGGAGCTTGGCGCCGCAAGGGCGACTTCTCCCCCCCGTTCCGCTGTCGGTCGCCGCGCCTCTGCTTCCCCACCTGCCGGGATGTCTGGGCCGGTCACCTGCCGACGCTGTCTGCGTCTCAATGACGGGCATTTTGTCCCTGGCATGTGCATACGCCACTGCGGCCAATTTACATCGTACCGCGCCCCGGACGTTGTGCCCGCTCCCTGTCTCTCGCCTTGGAGCCGCGAATTGAAAAGCACCCCCACTCGCTGGCAGCGCACTGTCTGGCAAATTAGCCTCGCCCGTGGCCCGGACGTCGCCTTCGCTCCCTGACACTCGTCTCGGGGCCGCTGACCAAAAAGTATCCCCACTCGCCCTTCCAGATGCTTCACAGGCGAGATGCCGCGGTAATGAGAGCAGGGGACCAGGAGTCAAATGAGCCTGACGAAGGGCTCAGCTCTAGGAAGCTGCGTGCAGCGCACGGCTCGCCCCTCCCTTCACATATTGCTCGTCACGAGGCAGTGCGGATAGGGAGCAAGCGCAAAAACGCGCGTTGAATTCTTTGCGGGGGCACGCTCCGCGTGAAGGGCATGTCGACATGAACAGGGAGGGGCGGCCACGCGCACACACCCACTGGTCCTGTAGGTGAAATTCCCTGTGGGCAGGAAACGTGTGAGCGGTGTGCCGAAATTGGTTGGGAGGCGGTATGTGGACCCTGTCTCTGAGGCCGCAGGTGGAGCTCTCTGTGGGGCACGATGCGATGGGCGGGGCGCGGCATGCGGACGCACCCACTGGAGCCGTCGGTGGAGCGTTCAGTGGGACACGACAATGCGCGGCGGGGGCGGGGATGCACCGAGATGGGTGCGAGGGGGTGTGCCGAGATGGGCGGGGTGCGGCACGCGAACGCACCCACTGGGGCCGTTGGTGGTGCTCCGTGTGGGTCAGGATCCGCGTGAGAGATGTGCCGGCATTGGCTGACCCGCATGCGGACCGTAGGTTGAGCTCCCTGTGGGGCACGAAACTTATGAGGGGCGTGCCGAAAAGGGCGTGCGCTCGCATCCGGACGCACCCACTGGGTCCGCAGGTGGAGCTCTCTACGCGGCACGATGCGTCTGGGGGTGTGCCGAAAGTGACGGGTGGCGGCACGCGGACGCACACAGTGGAGCGGGAGGTACTATTCCCTTGTGGGGCATCGACCGTTTCATGAGTGTGCCAAGATGGGCGGGGGGGCACACAGGCGCACCCGTTGGGGCCGCAGGTGGTGCTTCCTACGGGCCCCGATTCGCGTGAGAGGTGTTGCGAAATTTGGCGCGGGCCCTCATGAGGACGCACCCGCTGGGGCCGCAGCTGGGGCCCCCTGGGGCTGCGGGGTGTACCGAAATGGGCGTGTACCGAAATGGGCGCGCCGCGGCATGCGGACTTTGCCGCGGAGCCGGTTCTTGTCCACAGCATGGTGGCCGCACGCTACGCGCAGCTCCGCCGTGGCCGCGAGGCCTGCCCGCCACGAACGCGACGACGAGCACCTGCACGACCGGCAGCGTGCCCCCGAGGTCTGCGAAGCCGCTGGTGGCCAGCGTGGCCGCCGAGTGCCTTAGGTGTGTGGCTCGCCGCTGCCTGCTCCCCTAGGAGCTCTCTCCCGAAGGGTCGGAGAGGCGTGGGTACTGACCCCGAGCGTGTACTCCCCGCAGGGCGCTGACAGGCCGGCAGGCCACGGACTCCAGCATGCGCCGAAATGCCTCGCTGGCCTGCAGCGCAGAGTCATGCGCCTGGCGCAGGAGGCCGTCGCAGAGGTCGAAGACCTCCGCGCCTTCCGGGACCGCTGCTCCGCCAGCCGCAGGCGCCGCTCCCGCGGGCGCTACCGCTGGCTCCGCCGCCGCCCCCGCAGTAGGACCCACCGTCGCCGCGTGCGCCACAGGCACCAAGGGGGCAGCCGCTGCCGCAGCGTCGCCTCGAGGAGCCCTGCGCCGCCGCCGCCGCCGCCGCCGCGCGCGGGGGATCGGGGCGTCGGCCCTCTCGTCGTTGAGGCTGTCCGCGTCGGCCTTGGAGGCGTCCGCGAGCTCCGAGAACTCCGCCGCGGCGAGCGTGGAAAAAAAAGCATCTCACCGCCGCTGGCTCCGCCGTCGCCCGCTGTGCTCCACCTCCGTGTCCGACACTGCCAGCTGGGGGTCTCCGCAGCAGCCGCGCCGCGCCCACCATCCGCCTTCCTCTGCTTGAGCGCAGCGCCGCTTGTGGCGACGCCCAGCGTTCCTTCCGCCTCCAGACTTGGCTCCAGCGGCTGCGGGCGCCTCGGCCGACCTGGCCACAGCAAAAGCCACAGCCGAGATCGCCGAGCGTGTGACCGCACCCACCGCCCGCCTAGGCGCGCCAGCGTCGGCCGCCGCACGGACCACAGCCGCGACGAGCACGGCGCCGTCGGCGGCAGTCAGAACCCTTGTAGCCTCGCCAAGGGCAGCCATCGCGGGAACCGCCGGCCCAGGCAAGGCATGCGATCGCTTGAGCCGAAATGACTACGGATTGCCAGTGGCTCCGCAGGTGGAGCTCCCTACGGGGCACGACCCGCCTGAAGGGTGTGCCGGAATGGACGCGCCGTGACATGCACCCTTTGCCACCAGGGCCGTAAGTGGAGCTCCCTATTGGGCACGACCCGCCTGGGGTGTGTGCCGAAATGGTCTCGCCGGGGCGCGCGGATTGTGCCATTGGGGACGTACGTAGAGCTCCGTATGGGGCACGATCCGCGCGAGAGATGTGCCGAAGTGGGCGCGCCGCGGCATGTGAACTTGCCACTGATGTCGTAGGTGGAGCTCCGCGTTGGGCTCAATCCGCTTGAGGAGTGTGCCGAAATGGGCGCGCCACGGCACGCGGACGTTGCACTGGAGCCGGAGGTGGAGCCCCCTGTGTGGCGCGATCCGCATTAGTCGGGGGTGGAGAGACCTCCTACCCTGACACGTCGATTAAGGAATTGGCCGTTTTCGGTCCGCGAGAGGGCGTCGCGGCCGTCATTTTTGCGGGTCCAGGTCCGTCGGTTTCTGCCCCGGGCCGTTTTCACTAAGGGGAGGTGTACTAAAGGGAGGTTTGTCCACCGCCGAATTAGGGGTGCGCCGAAATGGACATGCGGAGATCAGGAAGAGGAGGAGGTGGAGGAGGGGTTGTAGGAAAAGGAGGAAGGAGACGCGCGGCGCTGCGGATTCAGAGCGAGGAACCGACAACATAGGAGGATTTGGAAAAAAATGCTCGGCCTAAATAAGCGCCGCGTTTGGGGGAGCCCGAAAAATCACGTACTGCGCCTCTATATGGGCGCTATGGGAAGCCGTTGGGGCCTTCTGGTGTCCATTCCGGATCTTTCGTGGACCATCTCAGGGCCACGTGGAAGCACCAGAGTCCCATCAGGGGCCGAAAAAGCGAGAGGGCGAAAGTCATTGATCAAGCAAAGTTGTTGTCCCATGAATTCTGTCTCGTGGGGGCATCCTTGGGAGGCTCTGGGGCAGCCTCAGAGCGAGCTTGGACCACTCGTGGGGTATGCTGCAACCATGCTGGAGGCCATATATGTCAAGTTGCGCCACCGAGCGCCATCTTGGATGCATATTAGGCTATCTGGGCCATCGTGGAGCAATCGAAGGCCGTCGCGGACGCTCTGACTGCCCGCAACCCCTGGTCTGTATTCCTGGGGGGTGAGGGGTTAACGCCTCCCCAAACAGGAAGACTTGATTACGCTGGAAGGGCTGGGGCTCCAGAGGGCTGGATTGGATACGCATACGCGCATAGGCGATTCGTGTCGATACTGTGTATGACCTCCCCCTTGAACACTGTTGCCGACAATGGTAGCAAGCCTGTTTTACCATCTCAGCCCCCCAGTGCACCAGCTAATCTCTCATTGCAGTTTCTCTTTAACATACCTTCTCACCCAATGATGCTTCCCTAGCGACAACCCATTACTTGTTTTCGCGCGAGAAGTAGCAACACTTGTCCACCGATTGTTTCGGGCGTCGATAAAAGTGCCGACCATAGGATTTGTCCCAGGGCTACCAAGCTCAAAAGCACCACCTCGAGACGCCAGAGGGGCGGTGAGACTTTACGATATCCTGGTAGAGGAAAACACCAGAAGACTTGCCCATGCCGTGTCAATACAGCCTATAGCAATGCACAGCATGGTTGTGCGTGCGATTTGAGGTAATGGCCCTAGCCCCCGAAGGTTTGGGAAGGTGACGATATCCTGGGAAACTCGGATGGATCATTCGGTGGAGCTTGTCCTAGGACTTACCTCACCCCATATATATATATATATATACATACATACATACATACATACATACATACATACATACATCTATACATACAAACATGCATGCATGCATGCATGCATGCATACATGCATACATACATACATACATACATACATACATAGTATTGGTATGCAGCCGCGGCGGTGCGATGACATTGCGGCGACGTGCGACACTTGAACTTCGTTGGGGGATCACGAGCGAATCCCAATGCTTCATGGCTATCTGCGGAGTTGTGTCATCATCTACGCCCACGCCTCCTCCAGAGCAGCAAGAGCAAGCGCCCTCAGGAGGACCTGACGTTGCCCCAGTGCGAGTGCCGCGCGCTCATCGCCTCCTGGGACCCCCCGCGGCCGCCGAGGCCCCCCAAGCCGAGGCAGGCACGCCTGGTGCACCAGGAGGCCATGGCTTGCTTCCCTGTCAAGTGACTCTCGCCATCCTTCCTGGAGGTATCGGCCACAAGGGCGAACGAGGAGCGTGGGGAACGAAGAGAAGGTGCAGGAGGTTGAGAAAGAGGAGGAGATTGAGGAGGAGGATTCGTTCTGTTAGCTGGCAAGTAGGCTTTCCAGAAGCGGCGCATGATCATTGCTGATGTTGTCTGTTTGTGTCTTCGCTTACTGTGGATGTCGGTACTTCGTCCGCACAGCAGGACCAGCAGGATCAGTGGAAGCACTAGCGGTAGGAGGAGGAGGAAGTAACATCTATATGTATATATAGATACGGAGAAAGAGGAAGAGGAGACCCAGATCGTTCCGCATGTCATATGCGTGTCATGGTTTCGGTTCTCCTCTCGTCTGCGTGCCGCCTGTATGTTTGTCATGTCTGATTGCTCCTCTGTGCTATAGGTGTCTTGTAGCTCGTCCGCCGAAGTGCAGAGCGCAGTTTCTAACGAACAGCCGCACAATAATCGCAAGTATGAATTCTGATTGGTTCGGGTTTCAAAGGCGTGGGAGCCGTGGCGGTTTCCAATTCGATCTCTGCCAGAGCTATACATGTCCGCTAGCTTGCGCAGCAGGTGCGATTTTCGACTTTCCTGGGAATTTGGATGCACATGTCAGGGCGTACACTCTCGAGGCCCAGGAGACAAAACCTAGAGAGAAGGCTGCCGTTGGAATGCTGCGAGCAGGGTCTTGTGCAGCAGCTGCCGTAGGGAATTGAGGGAGGTCAGTATACATTGGTCATTGATACGTTGGAGGCGGCACTGTGCCCATCATCTTTCAACTCCCTGGACCTCTGGTCGTCGTGTGTGAGGACGTTCGTTGGCAAGGCCCTTTCGACGAAATTGCAGCGAGCCCGTCAGGACTGTCGCGGCGGGCACCCAGCACCCATCCATCGGCCCATGTGCACCGAGCATGCTGGTTTCCACTCAGTTGTTTGAAAAGTGTGGGCAGTGAAAGATGCAAAACGATCGGCGATCTCCAAAGATCGGATGTTTTCGTCGATGCTCATGTTCGGAAGGTGCTGGATGATTCCGGCTCCTGGAGGCAGGGGTAAGTGGCGCTTTCAATGTTTAACAATTGTTTTCGCGCGTTTCGGGAATGGCGGAAATTTTTGGAGGAAACCAGCGGGCACCCAGGCAGAGATTTCCGAGTTGGCACGAGAGCCCCAAGCGAAATCCAAGAGTGCGCTGCTGGGTTGGTGAGGACAAAAGCGGGAATTGAGCGGAAACCGCGGAAGCGTCAGGACATTTTTCAGGCAACCACCGGAAGCCTCACTGGAAACCGGTATTTGCCATTACCTTTACGACCCATCATCGTCAGAATATCCGACATCGCCGCCGTCGTCGCCCTAGTCACCGCCGCCCTCGCCTTCAGCATCCTTGTCACCATGCTCGTCGTCATCGTCACTGCCATGGTCCAAAGGCGCTTGCTCGAACCAGGTAAGCACCTCCGACGCATGCGAGTTCCCAGCGGATGTCCAGTCAAATTGAAAAAGCACCAAGTGTCGCCCTTTCCTCCACGTGGGGCGCTCCACGGGAGGCCTCGCCGTCGAGGGACCGAGAGCCTGGCATCTCGCCCTGGGTGGAGCCTCCTCCTCCTCCTCCTCCTCCTCCTCCTCCTCCTCCTTCTCCTCCTCCTCCTCCTCACAACGAGGGCGAGTCCGCCAGCCTAGCGCCAGCGGAGGCCGTCGGAAGCAAAAGATGCCCCCCGAGGGGGCGCCCACTTTTGGGGGGGGACCCAGAGCTGAGCGGGCCACGCGCGTACTCCTTATTATTCAGCCATTCGCGCTGCCTTCCGGAATCGCTTCAGCGAGACGGGGAACGGGGCTCTCCCCCGCAGCACCAGACCTCCGCCCCGTTTCACAGCATCATCTCCCCCAGGGCGGTATCGAGGCGCTCCCCCGCTTCTGTCACCCGGGCATCTGGCGGCTCCCTTTTCTCCGAAACGTGCCCCCGGACCTTTCGACCCCTGGATTCTCGTCTCGATTCCTTTCCTGATGGTCTCGGGGACCGAGGCTGAGTTCGGGAGGCCCGCGTACAGTCAACCGGCATAGTAAGGATGGGCAACCTTCCCGAAGGTACCCTTGCATCCTTGCCTCCTCGGTCCATCCTTCGCCGCTTTCGCTGGCCGCGCCCCGCTCGAAAAGCTTCGAAATGGGCGTCCAAGGCCCTTGCATCCCTATCGTGCATCCTTACTATACTGGTTGACTGCAGGCGAAAACACACCAGCCTCAATACTTCTGGAGCCGCCGGGTGTCTGGGTACGGGGGGAGGTCCAGATTTCTCAGAGTCGACACTAGGACCTCTCGCTCGGTGTGCTCTGGCCAGACGTTGGAGGCGTATCCAGCCGTGGCGACGAGAACAAGGCCAAAGGAAAGTCAAGACTGTGAAACAGCTTCGAAATTCGATCCTCACCATGATCAAAAGTCGATCCCTGAGTCTCTTCTGGAGCACTTTAAAACCAGACTTGTTGGGCGGATCCGCCCGTGGCGACGAGGAGCATCCCAGAGACCAACAAAAATACAACCACAAACAATGATTTCAAAACCTGGAACCCTCGAATCTCGATGTCTGAGTCTCGGATCGTTTCCCAAGGGATATCCTGGCTGGTTATGTTATCCCAGATCGATTTTTGACGTGCCAGGCTCGTCGCGGATCCTAAGTGCCCGAATCCAGTTTCAGAAAGCCAACAGCAAAAAACGCGCACATGCGTGGACCCAAAAAATGTTGTTTTGTTACATTGTCGATGTCAACGCTATGTGGTATAATCCGTCTTGAAGAGTTGAAGTCGTCAAAACCAGCCCAAGATGCTTCCAAAACGCCTCAAGAGGCCTCCAAGAGGCCTTCCAAAAGGCACCGAAGAAGTGAAAATTGCCCCATTCCGTCAGGAAAACGTATGTTTTAACAATATGCGCCTTCTGCGCTTTCATACCGTGCAAGACGGGCCGAAATACCACCAGGACAGCTCCAAGACGGCCCACAACCATTACGGTTCCCGACTGGAGCTTGCTAGCGCATCTCTACGGCCGCGGTGGCGCGCGCATGCTCGCTCGCAAATCGGCTGGCTTGATTCACGCAACCGATGCAGCCGCGTTGGCGCTTAGAAATGTGAACTCCCCAGCGCGTCTGGAAGGCCGCGCTGGCGCGCGGGCACTCTTAGTGCGGGTCGGTGACCCAGGGGGGCGCGATATCATGATGACGTCGGCAACGGCAACAACCATGACGATAATAGCAAAGATGTGGCGATGATGTTGACGACGACGGCAAGGCCAATGACGGTGCCGATGCTGGTGACGACGATGACGATGACGGTGCCGATGCTGGTGACGACGATGACGATCATGATGTCAATGTGCCGTGGATGGGAGAAGGTGGCTGCAGCTGGACGGGGCCACGCTACCAGAGCCAGAGCAGGTGGACGGGTCCCCACCCCAGGGAGACCCATGGTCCCCGCTGGCGCTCACAGCGGTGCTGGCCGGACCGCTTTTCGAGGCGCAGGCCGCGGCGCCAAGGGCGGAGTTCACCCTCTTTGTGGACGACAGGACGTGGACGGCACCCACGCTTACGGAGCACTTCAGGGCCGCGGAGGTGTGGAGGGAATGGACCAGCGTTCTGGGTGTCAAGGAGAGCGAAGGCAAACAGCAGTGGGCCGCGGCAGCACCGAGCAAGCGCCGACAGCTGCTGCAGCACGGCGTTCCCGCTGACAGGGTCCACGACAAGCTGAAGGCCTTGGGCATGAGGTTCACAGGAGGGCCGAAGAGGGCTGAGGTGGACAGGGAGAAGAAGAGAGTGGAGAAGGCGCTCCAGCAGGCGCGCCGCGCGAAGCTGCTTCCCTTGCAGCCGCGGGACCAGCGAACATTGCTGGCGTCGAGGCCCATCAGCGTGGTAGAGTAAGGGTCGGCCTCCCGCGGAGCACGGCGCCGGCGCTCAGGAAGCTCGTGCAGGGGCACGGACTCGACGTCGCATACCAGGCTCAGAAGACCACGGTGATGGCCGCGGTCAGAATCGCGGCCAAGACGCGGCCGAGCACGACCCCGACGAGGTGGAAGAGAGGCCGAGGATGGGGTGGCAACGTCGCCGCCATGCTGAAGACCACAGGGTGGGCGCTGACGGGCGAGTGGGCCTGGTACCATGCAGGGCTCGACAAACGTATCTGCCTGGACAGGAACAGCAGGAAATGGCTAAGGCCGAAGGCGCTGGCACACGTGCTCCGGGAAGGGTGGCGGCACGCGTGCTTCGTGCAGGGGCAGCGCGCCACCAGGATAGACTCGGGGCTCTGCAGGTGGGAGAGTTACGAACCCTGCAGGATCAAGGCCGTGCAGACGGCGGCGGCGAACAGCAGGAAGGCGGCAGCTTTCCTGACTGGCGCCTTCGTGCCCGTCGCGGCGCTGGACAACAGCAGGGCGCAGCGGGCCGCGCAGGCGGCCGATGAGGCGCAGCAGCAGCCGCAGCCGAGGGAGGAGGGCACCAGGACGGAGCTGGCGCCCTGCCGGTGGTGCGGCGCGCCAGTGCCAGACACCGACCACATGCTGTGGACCTGCACGGGCCTCTAGGGCAGGCCCCGGCACAGGCCGCGAGACCCGCTTCAAAGGCAGCTCGCCTGGCCCACTGGCGAGAGACGCCGCGCTGACGGGGACAGGCGCATGCTCGAGTGGGCGATACACGTCCGGGACGTGGTGCTGAAGGACAGGTATGCTGTGACCGGCGCCGACGAAGACGAGGAAGGAGGTGGAGATGGAGGCGACGGCGAGGCCGAGGGCCGACAGGAAGGGCGCCGAGACGCGGGCGACCGCGGCACAGGCGCAGAGCGGCTGCGACCGCGAGGAGGACGGAAGCAGGAGAGGGAGAGGAGGAGGGAAGGGCGCCCGCTGCAGAAGCCAGGAGAGAGGTCAGAGAGGAGGAGGGAAGACGCCCCGCCGCAGAAGCCGGGAAGAGGGGGCTGAGGATGAAGAAAAGGGGGGAAGGGCGCCCGCCGCCAAAGGCAGGAGGGAGGCCACGGAGGTAGGAGGAAGAGCGCCCGTTGCCCAAGGCAATCGGGCGGCAAGGAAGGCAAAGCAACTGCTGCAAAAGACAGGAGGGCTGCTGGGAAGGGAAGGCACCTGATGCAGAAGACAGAAGGGATGACACTTACTACTACCACAGCCGGGGCATCTCGACGGCCCTGTCGTTTCACCGTTCCCCCCATGTGCCGTTGGTGAAGGTGCTAGTGCTGCTGATGATGGCGATGATGATGGCAGCAATGGCAGCAATTGCCGATGACGCTAACGGCGGCGATGCGATGGCGCTAATGAGGGTGACGGGGGAACGCGCGCGCAGAAGGTCCATGCGTCGGACAATTTGTTGAAAAAACATGTGTCTCATCAGACGTTGCTTTGACACGCGCGTGACGGGGCGCGCGCGCGTGGGCCGCATGGTATCATGTGACACGGGTTCGTGCACCAGGCGCACGCGAGGCCAACGTGGACGCAACGCGTGGTAGAGTGGAAACGTGGCTTCCAGACGAGATTGCTCAAACCATGTGGCTTTCCCATGATTTCAGCAAGTGCGAGCGGTCAGAGAATCTTCAAAAGATCACATTAAACAGCCACTGCGTTTTTTATGCGTGTGTATATTGAAACGATTGCAAGCCGAATTTGCTTGGTATGATGTCAACACGCGCGCGCGTGCAGGTTTTTTTCTGCATGTGCGGATAAGATGAACATGTCCTTTTGAGATAAACGAGTGTTCTTTGGAAACGAGAACTAGTAATGAAAGCAGTGAAGTTATGAACTCCACCGTTCGCGTAAACCCACATTCGCACCCGCATTTTGACTGGCAAAACCCAGTCGGCCACGAGCGCGGTTCCCGAATGGGGCTCGCTAGTGCGTCTCTACGGCCGCTGTGGCGCGCGCACGCTCGCGCACAAATCGGCCAGAGTTTGATTCGGCCACGATGGCGCTTAGCGATGTGAATTTCCCAGCGCGTCTCAATGGCCGCGCTGGCGCAACGACACTTTTGTGCCGGCGCCGATGCTGTTGTCCACCATAACGGGGATGATGTGCGTATATCGGTGACGAAAGGGACTGTGAGGATGATGGTTGCAATGGCGGCGGTTGGAAACGACGACGACGGCCGTGATGCGATGGCGTGGATGAGGGTGATGAGGAAGTGTGCACGCGCGCGAAATCAATACATCCTGCACATTCTATGTTGAAACATGTGTGTTTTCCATTTGTTCTGAAGAACTCGATTTTGAAATGCTTCGAACGTTTTATTGTTGCAAGGATTTCGACGCGCGCGTGGCGGCGCGCGCATGTGGCCCGCATGGTATTATGCTACGCATCCGTGCATCGGGCGCATGTCATGACAACGTGAATACACTGCTTGGTGAGATGAGAACGCAAGTCATAGTATTTGCCCATGGTTTTAGCAAGCGCGAGGAAAACCCGTAAGGTTTGTATTTGGGCCACCGCTGGGTCTTGAAGCTTGTTTTATGTCCAAACGCTTGCAACACGAACGTGTTTGGTGTGTGTGTGTTCCGACATTGCGCGCGTATGGGCTTTGCTGCTTTTTGCAAGGAGTCATGAAGACATGAGGTTCTAAGATAAAAGAGCGCGCGCGTAGCATTCCTGCACAGGGATGACCCGAAGTCGGTGCTGGTTTGGTTGGGATGGTAAGAGCTTATATAGCAAACAAACAGAACCATGTGGAAATAGCAATACTCCTGGGGGCACAGTCAGGTCTGGGGCCAGAGGGGTGGTAATCTCTGTTTTTCTGACAATGAGAGTTCATGTCGGTTGTTTTGAAGTTGACAATTCCATTGCCCACGCGCATACCCCATCCACCACCCACAAGGCGTTGGCAATTCCAGCTGGTCGGCGATGACAACGATGACACTTACGCTGGTGATATTGATGAGCACGGTGAGGACGATGCTGGCGACAACGACGGTAAAGATGATGAAATTGTGGTGGTGATACGACGAGGTAACGATGATGGTGACTATTGTGTTGGTGATGGTGACGAAGTGCCGCACGTAGAAACCTGACGGCGGCGGCGACATCGACGATGACGGCGGCGGTGGTGGCCCCGACGGTGATGATGATGATTATCGCAGAAGCGCAATCATGCTGCAATGGTGTTACTGAAGATCGCTAGGTTTTCGAATTTCGTTGAAGACTGTTGTGCCGAAATGGTGAACAAAAACCAATAGGTTTGAAATGATTTCTATTTGCGCGCGTGGCGGACACGCGCGCGTGGCCCGCATGGTATTAGATGACAGAGTTGGTGGGGGCGCGATGGTGGTTGAACGTTTTCGAAGTGCGCGCCCATTTTGCCTGCATGGTCTCAGTTGACAGAAATGCTATCACAAAAAGCTTCGGCTTTTAAAGAGTTCAGCGAGCCCTTGCGCGCAGACGTTTGCCATTGCTTGCTGGAAACAAGAGATGTTTCACGGGTGTTGACTTGCCATGTTTTTGCACTGCTGGAAATCAGTGGTTGTTCAATAATTTGGGCGCCAGCGTGCGACGGCATTCGCATTTGCCCGGCTATGTTTTTGCGTTGCGTACGGGGTCGTAACACGCACACACACACACACTCAAGCACGCACACACAACAAAAAAAAACAAAACAAACAAAATGTTTATGTGTGTATATATATATATATGGCAGGGGTAACAGGGCGGGACACCGATTTGGTTGGGATTGTGAGATCTCATAGGAGAAATGCACGACGTGGCAGAATTGCATGCCAATTGGAATATCCCGTGGAGTGTGGCGAAGTCCAGCCTCGGAAGGGGGGGGTGAGTCTACTGTTGCTTAGAAATAGGAGCACATGTACTGCCATTAACTTCAACCGTCTTGGGCCAGTCAACTCCACCGCTCGTGCAGACATCCCACCCGTCCACCCGCGACTCGCTTGGCGAAGCCCCCTCGGCCACGACGGCTGCTCTCCACTGGAACTGGTCAGCGCGTCTCTGCGGCCGCGTTGGCGCCCGCGCGCGGAACCGCCAGTTGGTGTGGCACATCCGGTGTTTCCGCGAGGGAGGAGGAGGAGGAGGAGGAGGAGGAGGGGGAGGAGGAGGAGGAGGAGGAGGAGGAGGAGGAGGAGGAGGAGGAGGAGGAGGAGGAGGAGGCACTTACCGATGGGAATTTCCCAGCGCGTCTCAGAGGCCGCGCGGGCACGCGCGCGCTCTTCCGTGCGGATCGGCGAACCATGCGGGCGTGCTATCATGACAGCGTCGACAGCGACGGCGTCGACGTGCATACCTCCTCCTCCTCCCCTCCTCCTCCGCCTCCTCCTCCGCCTCCTCCTCCTCCTCCTCCTCCTCCTCCTCTGAGGCAGCGCCGGGGCCCTGCCGTGGCTGCCGCCGCCCCGCCCCCTGGCGCTCCTCGTGCACCCTTCGGGCGCCCCCCCCCTGCGGCGTGAAACACTTGCTGAAACACGCCGGCCATGCGGCCGATTGTGGCGGCGAGGGTGAAGCTAACGACGGCAAAGCTTACCCGCCGAGGCGGGTGAAGACGGTGACGATGAGAATGTCCATGTGTCGTTGATGACGGTGTTTGTGATGATGGCGGTGATGATGATGCTGATGATGGTGGTGATGGTGATGGTGATGGTGATGGTGATGGTGATGGTGATGGTGATGGTGATGATGATGATGATGATGATGATGATGATGATGATGATGATGATGATGATGATGATGATGATGATGGCGATGATGATGGCGCCAATAGCGGCGATCGACGACGACGACGACCACTTCGGTGATGCGATGGCGCTGATGACGGTGATAGGGGAAGGTTTTTGCGCGGAAAACTCCAATAAAATTAGCATCGGGCGTGTCGAAACAGTTGGTGATTCACATGTATTCAGGATATACATCTGTATGTACATATATATATATATATCCATATAGATTGGAACGCGTCGGAACCATAGCGTTGCAAGGAGTTCGACGCGCGCGCATGTGGCACGCATGGTACTATTCGATACGGATTCGCGCACGGGGCGCATGTTACTGTAGATCAACGAGGGTGCACCACGTGTTGGAATGACAATGCGGGTCCTGGACGAGATTGCTAAAACCAGTTTGTTTCCACATGATTACTGCAAGTGCGCGTTGGCAGCAAATCTGCTCGAAGTGGATTAGAAAACTTCGGGTCTTTAGGTCTTGTATACCGTAACGCTTTCCACGCAAATGTGTTTGGTATGATTTTGGGATTTGCTTGCGCGTGGACTTTGTAGCTGATTTTTGTGCGTGCAGTGGACCCTTGGAAAAAACAAGATCAGCTACTGCGCGCATTGTATCGAAGACGCATACGGCGAATCACCACCGCCCCCTGCCTTTTGCAATCGTCCATGTGGCCGAGCGTTGTGGCAAGAGCTCTGCCAAGCTATCAGACCATGTGTTCCACCAACCGTTGTGGAAACCCTTCCGGGAACATTTGGTGGAGGATAGCGGGGAAGATCAGGAGGAGGAGGAGGAAGAGGAGGAGAGAGGGAGGAGGAGGAGGAGGAGGAGGAGGAGAAGGAGAGGATGGAGGAGGAGGAGGAGGAGGAGGAGGAGGAGGAGGAAGAGGGGACATCTTGGGAGCCTCTGGGGGCACTCTTGGGGCCTCCTGGCAGCTTCCTGGGAGCAAGCCATCCCCACACCCACCACATCATGTTTTCTATGTTCAAAGGTTCTCTCTAGAGCCTGTGGCCTGGCGACCGTCGTCAGCTGCATGTGCCCCAAGAGAGGCCCCTGGCAACTTGCGAAAGATGCAACCGCCGAGGGCCGGGGAAAAACATTATTCTAAAACCAAAACGCGTTCAATAAACACCCGCCATTTTTAATAACGAACTGCCGCGTACGAAATCGCCGGGGACGACATTGCTCAAATTGCGCCATCGCACGCGTGCAACGGCGCAATTTTCTAAGCGCAAAAACGCGTATATAAAATAGGCAAAAACTGTTTAATTAAAACGAAGACGGTTTTATAAAACAATTCGTGAAAAAACGGAAACGTCGTGATTCGCAATCGTCGCCGTGGGGGCGCGCCAACTAAGTCCACAAGCGTTCAGGGAAAAGTGTAAAAATCTGCCTTGTGGGTGTGGGGGTGGGCTGTTCTCTCTCGAACTCTTGGAGGCATCTTGGGGTCCTATTTGGGCCTCTTCGGGGCCTTCGCAGGATTCTCGGAGACCTCCTTGGCCGTCTCAGGGCATTCCTGGCCCGTCCGACGCCGTCGGAAACCGTCTTGGAGGACTTTCTGGGCCGACTTGAAACCCTCTTCGGGTGCTCCAAGGCAATCTTGAACGCCATCTTGGGCGTCTTGGAGGCCTCTTGGGCCGTCTGGGGGCAGAGGACCGTTCTGGGGCCATCCTGGAGGCCTATATTAGGCGATCTTTCGGGGCTCTTGGGCCATCTCGGGCCGTCTGAAGGCCGAAAAGAAGCAAATTCCAAAATCCTTCAAAAGCCTTAGGAAAATCAAGTTTGGCCTCTTCGGGCCTTCCTGGATGCCCTCTTGGACGCCAATTGGGCCGTCTTGGAGACCTCTTGTGGGGCTCTGGGGCCGTCTTGGGCCATCTTGGAGCCATCCGCCGTCTTGGTGGGCTCCTGGCCCGTCTGACGACGTCAGACGCTGTCTTGGGGGCCTCTCTCGGCCGACTGGGGGCCATCTTGGGGTGCTCCAGGGCCGTCGTCTTGGAGGCCGTCTTGGGCGTCTTGTGCCGGAATGAGCGTGGGTGACGCGTGCGGGCGGTGGCACCGGGGCCTTCGTTGGAGCTCCCTATGGAGCCACGAAACGTGTGAGGGGTGTGACGGAATGGGTGTGGGTGACGCATGCGGGCACACCCATTGGGACCTTCGGTGGAGCTCCCTATGGGGCCACGATACGTGTGAGGGGTGTGCCGAAATGGGTACGGCGCCGCCATGCGAATTGAACCATTGGGACCTTAAGTGGAGCTCCGTATGGGGCCACGAAACGTGTGAGGGGTGTGCCAAAATGGGGCGGCGCCGCCATGCGAACTGCGCCACTGGGACCTTAGTCGGAGCTCCCTATGTGGCCACGAAACGCGTGATGGGTGTGCCAAAGTGAGAGGGTGACGAGAGGAGAGAGGAGGGGGAAGGAGGAAGGGGAGGAGGAGGAGGGAGGAGAGGAGAGGAGGAGAGGAGGGACGCGGGGACCGTCTTTTCAAAACGAAGGTGAGGGGAGGGAAACCCGGCCTGGCCGCTGCCCTCAGGCTGCCAGCGCCCAGCGCGCCCAGGCGTTCGCGCCGGCGCAAGCGGCCGCGGGCGCTACATCGTCGCGGCGGCCGAGGGCAGACATTGCCAGCAGCGCCGCTGCCAGCGACGGCGCGGCCATGGAGGCCTCGCCTTGGGCCGCCGCTGCCGACAATGACGGCGACGACAACGACGACGACGACGACCACGGCCACGGCCACAGCCATGGCCACGGAGGCGGCGTCGGCGGCGGTGGCCGCGGCAACGACGACGACGACGACGACAATGACGCATACCACGGCCACGGCATAGCGGCGGCGTCGGCGGCGGCGGCGACGGCGACGGCGACGGCGACGGCGACGGCCACGGCGACGGCGACGACGACGACGACGACGACGACGACGACGACGACGGCGACGGCGACGGCGACGGCGGCGACGACGACGACGACGACACAGACGCCGACGCCGACGCCCCCGCCGCCGCCGCCGCCGGGGCCGGTGCCGACGACGGTCACAACGGCGATGATGGCGGCTGCCACGGCAATGACGACGGCGTTCGGCGACGACGGCGACGGCGACAGCGGGGCATCGCAGATCCCTCCAAAGAGCACCTTGTGTCGTGAAGAGGTCACGAAAGGAAGAGCCGCGGTGGACAGATTGACGAGTGGATCGGCAGGATGGTCGTCGCGCCGTTCCATTCCGCCTCCTCCTTCCTCTCCACAAGATTCGTTGAAGCACGAAAAGCCCCAACAACAACAGCAACAACAACACGAATATGAACAACAAGGAAAGCAGTAACAACAGCAGCAAAAACAACACAACAACTACAAAACCACAACAACACAACAACAATAATAACAACAACAACAACAACAACAACAACAACAACAACAACAACCAACAACAATAACAACAACAACGACAACGACAACGACAACAATCACGTGACCCGAATGCTTTTTATTCCCCATTCAGAGCTTGCCTTTGTAGGAGTCCTAGCGGATTCACATGGTTAGGTGAGGTTCGTCGCCGATTTCGGTGGCCGGCCCGGGTGCCCGGGTGCCCGGGGTGCCCGGTACTTTTATAGCTGTATTGCCCTATAGCCCTATAGCCCTATGTCCTTATAGCCCCGTAGCCCCATAGCCCCATAGCCCTACAGCCCTATAGCCCTAATAGCCCTCTGGCCCAATAGCCCTATAGTTCTATAGCCCTATAGCCCTTTAGCCCTATTGCCCTATAGCCCTGTAGCCCTATAGCCCCATAGCCCTAAAGCCCCAAAAAGATTATGATCGGGGCTTTTGTCCGGTATCATGAGCCTGTATGCAGCATGCAACCGTCATGATAGTTGCCCCTCTCATGGGGGATGTTTCTTGCACAGGGGGCCCGACATTACCTTACATTGATATCCCGCCCGAGGAGGAGGTCTTAACGACAATTCTTCCGAGGCACCTACAACATCTCCAGCCCGGATGGCACATTGCCTTCGCGATCGCCTTGTCCATGCTTTGCTGCACGGTAACACCACGCCCGAGTGGTTTAAAACCTGTGGGGGAGGCCACACAACATGTGGGAGAGCCCCCGGAGCCCCTAGGGCAGCCTCTGGAGCCCGAGCCCATAGGAGGGCCCCCACAGCCTTCCAGAGAAGCTTCAAAGCTTTTGCGGGCAACATGAGGACCGCTGGGAGACGTTTCGAAGCTGAGCTGGAGGGCCCCCGGGCCTCTTGAAGGAGGCAGGGCATTTTTTGGGAAGGCCTGGATCGGAGGAGCTTCTGGGCCTCGGGGACATGAAGAAGAAGAGGAGGCAGAAGGAGGAGGAGGAGGAGGAGGAGGAGGAGGAGGAAGGAAGAAGGAAGACAAAGGGTGAGGAGGACGAGGAGCAGGAGGAGCAGGAGGAGCAGGAGGAGCAGGAGGAGCACGACGACGACGCCTCGGGGGTTGCCAAGTGGGGGGCCCTTGCGGGGCGCCTGATCGAGTTTTCGGGGATGCTCAAGAAGGATCGCGCCATTCACCTTAGAAGGCGAGGATGGGACAGTCTACAGAGACAGGTGAGTAGATGCCAGGACGTAGGGTTTGTTTTATCAGATGATGCCGAACCCAGGTTTTTGGACAAGGTTCGGAGTTTGCCCTGCCCGAGGAAGGAGGACCACGCCAAAGTCCAGAAGCTGTGTTGTGAGTGCCGAAGGCTGGTTCTCAGGATCGAGCGTCACCAGGGGAGAGAATCTTCCAAGGGGTTTAAAGAATGGGTCCTGGAAAGTTTGAAGAGGGGGCGGGGGCGGTCCACAGGTGGACCAACACGTGGGGGAAGCCCCGACCTGCCCTTGCCCCCGAACGTGGTCCTGAGGGGGAGTTGTTGGTCGATCCCCGTCGTGCGATCGCCTCCAAGGCGGCTGTGTGGGAGGCGCTTTGGTGTCCGAGCTTTGGGAACCAGGAGCCCCCTCAGGACCAGGACTGGTGGCCCGAGTTTAGGAGATGCGCGGCAGAAGATCGCCACAAGCTCCAGCCGCTTGCGATGGCCGATCTGGAGACAGCGCTGTCGAGGTTCAGGAGCGTCATAGGGATGGGCCTGGATGGCCAGAATCCCAAGCTGTGGGCCCAGCTCCCCCTGGAGGGTCGGCAGGAACTGCTGGTGCTCCTTCACCAGGTTGAAGAATCTTTGACTTGGCCCAGGCAGGTCAGAGATAACGTAGTCCGGCTGCAGCACAAGTCTGACGTGGTCGATCGGCCCATCACGCTAACGCAGGGCATCTGCCGCTGCTGGTCCGTGATGAGGAGGGATGGGGTGTCGCGTTGGGCGGTCGGAGAAGGGGGGGCTCGCTCCTGGGACAAGGCGGTCAGAGGTAGTTCGGCCCTTACAGCGGCGATCGCTCGCCAGCTCCAGCTCGAGGTTTCCACCATCCAGGGGTTTTCCTGGGCGGAGATCTTGTGGGACCTCGAAAAGTTTTATGATCACCTCCAGTGTTTCGAAATCTTCAGACTTGCGAAAGCCACGGGGTATCCGATGTTTGAGCTTTTCCTTGGAATGTCAATCCACTTCGCACCGAGGAGAGTGCGCGCTGAGAGCAGCATCAGCGAAGTTATAACCCCGTGGCGAGGCATTCTAGCAGGGTGCAATCAGTATGTGGACGTAGCCATAGTAGGTTTGTTTGAGATATTACAGGACTTGCACGACTCGTTCAGACCCCTCCAGCTTGACACTTGGGTGGACGACTGCTCCCAGCGGGTGGTGGGGCACTCTCGGGAGGTGGTCTCGAAGTCTGTGCTCGTCGCTAGGAAGTTGTGGAAGTTGTGCAGCAACGGGGGCCTCAAGGTTTCCAGTAAGTCGGTCCTCGCGAGTTGCCCGACACATCTTGCCACGGAAATTCAGACAGCACTTGCTAAGCACGGCCTGAATGTACAAGCCAATCAGGTAGCGAAAGATTTGGGAGTGGATGCCACTGCCACCCGTCGCAGTGTAGCCACGCAGAAGAAGCGAATGAGTGCTTCCGCCAGCCGCGCCAAGATGATCGCTCAGGTGGTTGAGGTGGCGCCTAAGGCGAGAGTGCTTGGCCGCACGGGGTTTTTGCCGCAGGCGACGTGGGGGCTGGAATGCATCGGCCTGGCCCCGTCGACGCTGCTGCGAGTCCGAGCGCAGGTGGCTGCGCTGTCAGGCGTCCGTTTTGAGGGAGGGTGCTCGACAACGGCTATTTATTGAATGATGGGAGCTGATCATGACCCATTGTTGTTCGGACGATTGAAAGTTTTTAGGTCGCGGTACGAGATCCTGCCCTGTGCATTGCGCTCGAGTGAGCGACCTGTCCAGCTCGCGTGGAAAAAGGCATAGGATCTCTTGCTCAATGTAAAAAAGAAGGTGGAGCCATGTCCGGGGGGCCCTCACGGCTGTGATTGCCTGCCTGCAGGACCTTGATTGGGATGCCCCTGAGCCCTGGCTTTGGATTGACAGATCCGACAGCGCCACCTTTGATTTGAGAACCTGCGATCCCGAGAGGCTCTTTGATTTTGATCTCCGAGGATCCCTGGAAGGCCAAGTGCGGGCTAAAGCGGCTCAGCACTACCACGGTCGAGGCTTGGAGCACAGTGCTGATTTCACGGTTGCCCATCGCCACTTGAAGCGATTGGAAGGAAGGCACCAGCACGATCAGGCGGCTGTCTTTAAGATGGTGCGCACGGCGGGGCTGTGGCCAGCCGCCAGGCGCTTTGGGGAAGAGGGCCTCCATTCTCCTCTGCCCCCTCCCCGCGATGGCGATGGCGGCGACGGCGACGACGGCCCTCGACCCGACCCAGCGCCCGAGGAGCAGGCTGGCCCCGACCCGCGCCCCGAGGAGGGGCGGCCCGTAGCCGCAGGTTTGGATGGGGAGGACGACGTTTTCGGTCTCGATGACGTGCTGGAGCTGCAGGCCTGGGATGATCAGATCGGGCTCGAGGAGGCTGAGCTCCCCTCGCCTGCACTTGGCACGCATCGCCGCCTTCCATCTTGCCCGAGGTGCGGGGCGGAGCCGGAGACTTTGTTTCATCAGATGTGGAGTTGCCCATATAATTCGGAAATGGATGGGGCGGCGCTTGACTTGCTGCCCCAGGCCGAACAGGAATGGGAAGAGTATCCGTGTTTTTGGTTGAGGGGGTTGCCCCCTTTGAGGTGGGCGTCAGGGCCAACGCTTGTCGACACCTCGCATGAGCCAATTTTCTCCCCCAGCCTCAGCCAAGGGCCGACAGATCTGGAGGAGGGGGACGCGGCGGTTGGGACGGACGGGTCGGGGGGATCGCACTCGGCGGAGCCCAGGCTTAGACGGCGCGGGTGGGGGTTGTCCATAATTCGGGGGGCGGGCCGACAGTTAGGCTGGGGGCATGGACCTCTCCCTGGGTTAAAACAGACGGCGCCCCTCGCCGCGCTCGAGGCCAGAATCCAAGCCCTTTCGTGCACCACGGGAAGCATGGAGGTAGCTGCGGACTCGGCTGTGACGATCTCAGGGTTCAAGAAAGGACCCAATTTCACCCATTGCGTAAATGTGTTTGCTTGGAGGAGGTTCTGGGAAGCTGCCCAGGGCCGCTCCATAGTCATGCATAGGGTTAAGAGCCACACGAGGCCAGCCCCTGAGAGAGTGGACGGACCACCCTTGGGGTTGCGGCTGGCCAACGGCGCTGCCGACC